TATTTTCTACTGTGTGCATTTGCTCCAGACCAAATGTCAAGAAGGTGGAGGTTATGTCATAATCACCATTTTATACAGAACTCCTGGTATAGTGCCATACCTGGACACAAGATTGCCAACAAATTGCTGGGGAAAAACTATAACCTCTATCCTGGGTTCCTGACATATGTTAGATTCTGGGATATGCTGGACATCTGCAGGACTCAGCTCTTGTAGATGAAGAAAGTTAAAAAAAAAAAAAAAACCTAGAAAGACAAAGTATCATGACTGAAGTTAACATAGTAAAGAAGTGGCCACACAGAAGTACAGAAGCACATTTATCAAATCCTACAAAAGTATCATTCCCAATACTGGTACTGCCTCCTGTACTGCAAACCAGGAGAAAATGGGGCAGGCACAAACCAACTATGTTAAAGCTTTTTCTCTAGGAAATGAGGATGATGACCCTTGGAACCTAAGGGTTTCTAAAACAATTTCAAAGTCATCAGCTTAACAATGTAAATGGCTTTAAGGCCACTGAATAAATAGAAACAGCAATAACTGTTGACTTTGCAGCACTCTGTATGTGCTGGACATCTCATGAATTTTTCACTATATCCTTTCCATGATCCCTCAAAGATTTGGCCACTACCCTTTGATTATAAGTGAGAAAACCAGGCTCAGCAGACAATTGCCTTGCCTGAGATCACATGAGCAGGAAGGAGGAAAGCCAGAGTCCAGGGCCCTCACTGCCTCAGCGTACAGGTAGAACTTCATTTACAAGCTAGCCTGAGCTTCTCTTTGGCACTATGTCATTGCTATCACCTTGCCTTCCTCCTTCCTCACTAATCCACCATCAACAGTAATATCGAATACCTTCTGGATACATGCCCCCTAGCCCCCGCCAGGCCTGTACACAAAACACTGTGAAGCTTGGGGTTAGATCTCCATTTATTAAACAGAAGCACCATCTACTAGGCTTGACCTGGCCCCTGCTGCCAGATATGGTATATAAGAGGGACTGAATAAATGTCGTTTGAACTAAATTGAGATCGGTTGAATGAAAGGAAATAGTCACTATGTAATCTGGCCATGTTTTGGGATTTCCTAGCTGCCAACTAACATGATCATTCTCTCCAAGAAGAAGTGAGGTCTATGCCAATACCCTTGGCTATTCTGCTAACTTGCCACTAGCCTCAAATTGCTTAAATGAGAGAAAGAATATCAAAAGGCAGAAGGAGAGAGAACGATATCAGCTACAAACTTGTCACTTTAGAAGGAAAGTAGACTCTTTATGGTGACAAGGTTACCATTTAACAAACAGCAACAGCATCCTGTTTGAGCTTGAAGACTAGAATTAGGTCTTTCCCCAAAATAACCTTTTTCCAAATGAGAATACTCGATTATAATTTCTCTTTCTTTTTGTGCAATAAATTTGAGTGTCATAAAAATGGTTAAAAAGTCTTCCTATGGTAGCTTTTTCTAAACTTTTACGAACATCTGCCACATTCATTTGAAGTTTAAAAAATTCTGGCACATATGCAAAGGCATAATAAGGTGCCTATAGCTTTCAAGAAAAAATAACAAGACAGTCAAAAATAAGCCTTTTGCTGAATTGCCAGTAAGAAAACTAGTGTAGTGAGAAGAGATGGGCCTCTCTGAGCTCCTTCCTTAAACAGCTCTCCGTGGCCCTAGGTCTGTGCTCCTGCCCAAGTGTTATAGCCCATTTTCCAGAAGCAAATCACAGAGGAAGCATCTTTAGCACTGAAAGGTATAACTGAACCTGATAAACCTACTCAGGAAGCACAATAGGGCTCTCTGAGTGTGAGCTGAAACCCAGGGGAAGAGATCAGGAGACAAAATTCTGACATGTGGAGTTCATAGCTGCCCTACGCACCCAGGAAACACTTCTTTGTTCAAAAGGCTGGTTTCAAGGGTGGGGAAACTACCATGTTTGTTTTTCTTTTGATGTTAACCACATAGTTGTTCAACACAGCAAATTCCTTCCCAATCTCAGTCAAATGACAGGGCCAAGATCTGTCTTGGCCAGTGCGTCCTGAGCTTTCATACTTAAAGCCCTTCAAAAACTGGACAGAGTAGACTCTCGCCCATTCACCTAAGTGCAAATTGTTTCAAGTTTTAGCTTCAACATGCACACATATTTTGCACTGTAAATTTTACTACAAAAGGTCTTGCTTCAAATTACTTACAATCATAGAAAAGGTTACAAAAAAAATTTACCTCCCTTGTCTTTATGTAAAATTATGGTACTGGGTTGCCTGCAAACAGTGATGCCCATTGGAGGGCTCCTGAATATGCTCCAAATTACAATTCCCTAAGCATTCATTCCACCCTTCTTTTCAGTAAGCATGAACTGCTTGATGCACTGTAAAGATGCTGAGGGCACCAGAGAATGACAATATGCCTTGTTCCCAGACAATTCATGCTCCAGGGGATGACAGAGAGAACAAGGAAGCAAACAGCTATCATTCAGAGTTAGAGGTTCTTTAAGTGAAAGAAGGAAGACAGCAGACAGAGGACCTCTTGGAAGAGGTAGAGAAGGGCAGGGCCTCTCCATGCAAAGGTGCAAGTATGTGGATCTGATAGCCTATGCACCGGCTAACAAGTACTCTAGCAGTGATGTGCGGAAGACTTGACATCAGAAGAAAAAACCACCCAGAACTCAGGGATAGTGCAGAGGGAAAGTGGGCCACCTAAAGCGGTGATCAGGCAGAAGGCAACACACTCCATGTCAGTGCTATGGAATAAATCTTCCAAAGTCCAGCACTAAGCACAATGCTTGGAACATAAGAGGCCCTCATTTTGCTTATCAAATTAATAAATAAGGCTTTGCAAGAATCTAGGAAAGCAAAGAAAACATGTCAATGAAGACAATGAAGGAGAAACAGGGCAAGAGACATTTTTGGTGTGGTAAGAATTCAGATAGACTGAGTGAGAAAGAGGGACATTAAGCCATCCTCAAAGTGTCCCACTTTGGCATCTATGAAGCCAATGGTTCCATTCAGGGACTGGGAATATAGGAAGGGGAGTGGATCGGTTCAGTGTGAGTTTGTGTGTATGTGTGTGTGTTTGTGTGTGTGTGTTTTGGCATGCACATGCACACACAGACAATAAATTGTTTGGGGGAAGGCTGAGTGAGACATCTGTAGCACAACCATGTGAAACTCAGTTGGTGTTTGAAACTTTGGACCTGACATAGAGAGAGGCAGAGCAACATTAGAGTCACAGCTGAGAGTCAATGACTTTGACTTGGTAACTGAAGCAAAAAGCTTAAGACAAATGATAGAGGGCAAGTAGAGAAGAAAAGCAATCCAGGACTAGATACTTGCTGGAGTTATCTAGAATGTTAAAGGGACATTAAAAGTGTTTGAAAAAGCCTGAGCTGGAGCAGACTGGAAGGCAAGAGGAGAAGCAGGAGGAAGTTGTAGATGCTGATTAGGCCAAATAGTCTTTAGATCAGTGTTTCAAACCCTATAGCAACTGCTGGGAAAGGTCTATTAGAAATTATTCACTTTTTCATTTTTCATACAAGAGCTTTGAATAGACTCCCCAACTTGACAAATAAAGGTAAAACAGAAGAAATCTCTTCAATCTGATCTAAATACATCATCCAAGATAGTCCATAAACTGTGTACTGTATGTGCTTAGGGCTGGGTGATGACAGGGAGGGACTGTTAACAGAATGTAGGAGCCACATGGCCGTCCTGTCAAATTAGAAATTTGAGCAGATTTCTGTGGTCTATTTTGATCAAGATTCTCAATGTCAAACAAACAGGTTTTTCGATAACCAACTTGTTTCATTTTCGTAAGCACAATAGCACAGTGTGCAACAGTTAGTGGAGAAGCAGGTGGTCCTCGTCGACGTGAAATGAAGGCAACAGAAGAAGAGAAGTAGCACTTCCTTTAAGAGATGCAAAGCACCATCGCAGACGGACATGGCTGTAGATTCCCCTCCAGAGCTTATCTCCTGTGTGATATAGGCAAGACGCCCACCCTCTGCCCCATTCTGCTCTAGTACAAATGTCTGCTCCCTCCTGAGGAGGAAAAGGCTTGAGGTTCATGTCTACAAACTAATGGCACTTACAGAAGCATAGAAAAGTCCTTTAAAAGAACTGCTATCTAATTGGTACAGCCATACAGAAAGCAATCTGGCATCAGATTCAGAGCTTTGACCAAGCATTTCTACTTTAGGGATTCTACGCTAAGGAAATAAGTCAAAATGCAGATAAAGCCTTATGCATAAAGATGTTCACTGAAATGCTATTTATAATAGTGAAAACATTATAAACAATCTAAGTGTTCAACAGTAGGAAAATAGTTAAGTTGTGGTATATCCAAATGGTGGGAATGACAGGTAGCAAATTGAAAATCATTGTTACTAAGAGTAGACAAAAACATGTAGAAGTACTCATACCATAATGTTAAGTAAAATTAAGACATAAAATTATATATATGTCACATATCAATCATGCACATTTATTTAAAACACATATTCTCAGAATGAAGACTAGAATTAAGAATAGTAAAATTCTAACAGTAATTCAATCTAGAATAATGGTATTGGGGATAATTTTAATACTCCTCTTCACACATCTATCCACCATTTATATCATATTCTCAAAATACAAAAGAACAAAAAATACAATACTGTTATAGTGGTTTAGAATACACATTATTATAAAAAGTGAACCATTTCTCTTCCCTTGTTCAAACCCTCATAGAACCCTTTCCTCTGGCCTCCCTGCCTTCATAACCTTTATAACCCCTCACCCATAAAACCTGTAATCTCTAAGCAAAGTGGGAAAGCCCTGGAGTCAAGAGCCAACTGAAAGGGTCTAAAAGGAACTCAGTCCTGTACACCCAGAAGGGGAATACACATGAGCTTTTGCTTTGATCTGCTCTCATTCGCAGAGATGTGTATCCCAAGATCGCAGCTTTCCACTACACAAAGCAAGACAAACCCCAAGTTGAGTGATCAGGGAGGAAAGAAGACAACTTACCTCCATTAAACTTAAATGGATTCCTATGAGGTAGGGCATGGGAGCACTGTGAAGAGAAACAGAGACACACAGCTGCTTTAATGTCTGTTGCTTCCAACAGAAAATTACAGATGGTTCACTATTTGGAGAAAAACTGTTTTAATAAACGTATGCACAGTTACATTTCCTTTCACAACAAAAATCCTAATGTGACATTTTGTTCCCAAGCCTAGAAACTTCAGAAGAATTTCAAAACACAGGCAGCATTGGAAACAGCATGGGGAGTAAGAAGAGCACCAGCCTTGGTGTCAGTCCCTTGACAGCAGCTATGCAGCTGCATGGCCTTGGTCACCCAGGCTTTAAAATGGGAACCTGGACTCAAACTGGAATGTTATTAGAATGACAGAAAATATTCATCAAGTGATGAGTAGAGTTCCCGATATAAATGGAAGCTATGATTGCCATGATTATAATCAAAAAAGCAATAAAAATTGCATGGAGGACATAATGGGTTTCAATGAAGAATAATTTATTATTTGCTGTTTTCTTCTACAACCAAAAGATGTCACCTAACTGCCCATTCTGATTGAATAAAGTATTTGGAGAGCTGCCAGTAAGCTTCTTCACCCAGTGGAACACATGCCATCTGATGATACCATTCATAAAGACTCTGTTAACTGCTTCATTCAACAAGTTACCCAGGTTCAGTGACTAAGCAAAGAAGGAGAGCCCAACTCAAAGGCTTTAAAACCTGGGCATTTGGGATTGACCAGTCCTTCCTTTGTTTTCAGGAGCCTGTGTGTATGTATGTGTGTACACATGATCATTTATGATGCTACCTACCAATGATAAATGTGCTAGTGGTTACATGAAGACCTATAAATTCAGCTTTGTTAATCCACAAAATAACTTTATAAGATGGGTATAACCCCACATTTTACAGAGGAGGAAACAGACCAGAGCAGTAAATCACTTATTTAATGCTACAAAACCAAGGAAATGGTAAAACCTGGGCTTTGACTCCAACATGTACCTGTTTCTTCTTTGGTGTCACTTTGACTCTGATAAGGAACCTACAACCCCCAGGTTCACCTATCACACTGTGTCTTTTCTAGGGGCAGATGAGGGAGATCAAAGAGCAGAGAGGAAGGAAGAGACTGAAAACTTTTCCATCCGTCTCTCCAGTACCTGATACATTGTATGAAATGTGCACAAAATTTATCATTATTATTATTATTTTTATGAGCTTGGAGGAAAGACACTTGGTTCACACTAAGGTGATTAGGTACATTTCCTCTGGGGCAGCTGGGGGAGTCAAAGTGGATGGACAAGGATGGCTCTTTGGGGATAGGTTGAAGAAACAAGGATAGGCAAGTAACCAAGCAGGAAAGGTTTGCTTACAACAGAAAATGAAGTGGTTTAGGCTTTATCTGGGAAGCAATGGTGAGACAACAAAGATATCTAAACATCAGATGATCAGATGTAAATTTTGATATGCTCAAACATTTTTAAAATAAGAAAGGGCACAATTCCCTCATTAGTATTCAACAAATAAAATTTTCCAAGCAAAAATCCTTCCCCAAAATATAAAATTTCCTTCTTATTAGAGATCTAAGAAGTAATATATTTTGGAAGTCTGCAGAACAGACTTGAATATTAGCAGCACAGTTTGGGAACTATTCTTCTAGGAGACTTTTGTATTTGATAATAGCCAAAGAAAGAACCATACACACAACAGTACTGAAAGTGAAGTTATCCTTTCTTTTCTTCCATCGTTGTCTTCTCTCTTTTTTTTTAAGGTATCTGCTGGGCACATTCAGCTTCTCTCTGCTTCTATGAGAAGGAAATGCCCTGTGATATTTTTTTTCCCCTTAAACTGTAAACCATTAGTTTAGCTGCCAGCTACACAAATGCTCCAACTTCCCAGTGTGCCTGGCTTTGCTGTCCGAGCTTTTTCCAGTGTACATTGAAATGAATGTGTTTCTAATTAAGTAGCTTCAGGAACAAGACAGCTTCAATGTCAAAAATACAAAGTCTGAACCCTGGCAGGAAGTCTTAAGACTGCAAATGTCTCATCCAGTGGAACCTTGCCTAATGTAATGAAAGAAAGCAGGAAGAGTGCAGAATTCCAGAAAAATGGCCACTTATTAAATGTGTCTAGGAGCACAGCCTAACACATAGGAGGGAGAAAAGCTCAGATCTATAATACATAACTAAATTCTATCAACTTTTCTAGTTCTTACACTTAATCATGCAACTGATTAGTGACCACAAGTTTTAATTAGAATTTCAGAACTGAAATATGAACAAACAAGTTAACTTACAGAAAAAGACTCTCAAAAAAAAAAAAAAAAAAAAACAGAGTAAAAGGTTAAAATAATACCTATGGCAAAAATCCTTTGTATAAATTTAACCATAGGCTCTATCTGAAAAAAGAAATATTTTGTACAATTTTATATATGTAGGTTTAAATGCCATGCCCTTTTGCCCAGCAATAAAAATCCATGATACCCTGAAAGAGAGGGCAAAAGAACCTTATAGAAGTTACTGTAGATTCAAGAAGGGACAAAGTGGGACTTGCTCTTCTGGCATCTTTAGGTAGGAATTTTTTAACGCCCAATAATTTTCCAAAGAGTAATTATGGCCTATCATAGAAATAGTTTCTTAGCCAAGTATTGTTAGGACTGCAACAGCTCTCTATTTAGAAAATATTTAAAACACATTTATTCTGAAATCATAGCAGTTCCATGTTTTGTAAGAATTCAAATTTGGACAAATACCTTTTATATTATCATCGTTTGCCTACAAAGCTTCAAATGTCTTCCCAGAATCTATAGCATTTTTACTCTGCAAATACATAATCACAAATTTTAAATTTATGGGAGGGGGAGAAAAAGAAACCCAGAGCCTCCTTAACATCTCAGTGTAGTAAGCATGTAAAACTAGGTAATTTTAGGGACATTCTGAAAATAATTTCTATTCTCAATATACCTCAATAATTATTGCAGCTACTGACTCATTTTCTTGGAAACCTCTTTTCTTTGCCTCTTTATCAAAAAGAATAAAAAAAATAACACCTACCCATGATTATATCATCTTAATACAACTGTTTTTATGTCTGCATTATTCCTTTTTAATATTAGACCACATTAACAGTTGCATATTTTTGAAATTTTATTGTTTTCTTGTTGGTCACGATAACATTCCCATATTGCTCTATAATCTTCATAATTTATATATGCCCTTTTGCCCAGCAATCTTAAAAACTGCATAGTTTTTTTAATCTTAAAAACTGCATATTTTTCACCAAGTATAGATGTATCATAATGTACTGAATCCTATCCCTAGAGTTTGACAGTAAGTTGCTTCCAATAACATAAGTAACATTATAATGAAAATGAACAAATTCATGTGCATGAATTCCCATACATTGAATTACTAAGTCAAAGGGCAGGACTTTTTCTTTTTTAATATCTTTTGTTATATCTTGGCCGAGTGTTTTCTAAAAGGGCAGTACCTGTCCAGTGGAGACCTTTCAGCACTGCTGTAAGCATCAGGACAACCCCTGAGGTGCCTAACACAGCGGCAGCACCTGACAGACAGGCACTCAGTAAGTGACTATCTAGTCCAAAGGAATTTTCTCCAAGTCCTTCGCATGGCTGGCTCCATTGGACCCATTCTCCTCTCAGAGAACACTTTGTTGTTCCAGTCTTGGTTCCAAAGGACCCCTGGCTCTGGGACACCTGGCAAAGCACTGATGGGGAGGTCAGGACTCCATGAGGAATAGTAGGTACCTGGCAAGCATGGACCCTAAACATGGGCTTCTGACTCCCAAGCATCCTATCCTGTCACAGGTGTCCTCCATTAAATTCAGCAGGGTTGTGCATCGTTTTCTTTCAGAGAGCAACTTTGCTCTTTATCTTAATATGCCACCAAGGAAACAATGATCTTTGCTTTCTGGTCACTTAGAATAACAAATTTTAAAAACCTTTTCTTGCTCTTGGGCATACATTAAAAGGAAATATGGGAACATAAATTGGGTAAGCTCCAAAACTTCCTATCCAGAATCCTACTCATCTGAATCATTTTCTGATTCAGAGTCATCAAAGTCCATGTTTTTCCAAGGGTAATTCAGTATTAAAACAAAACAAAAATTTATCTGCTAGAAACTATCTTTCTGCTTTAGGTCCGAGAAATAACTTGTTTGTTGCTCTTCTAGAAAATATAAATGCAAATATACTTGCTTTACGCTAATGGCAAATGTACATTCTCCTCTGCTCAGTGACTTTCAGTATTCACAGTGACTTTTCATTTCAATGCTGAATCATAGTGTGATTTTGAAGACATTTAAAATGGCAATTAAACACAACACATACAGAACCAACAACACACATAATTAAATTAAAGCAGTGATAACATTAACAGCTATGACCAAATCTGCACACAGGCAGGCCATGACAACTGTGTCACAACTGCTGGTAGCTGACGGAGATTGTAGGATGCCATTGTACATCTCTGAATAGCAGAATAGGGTATCTCTGTACTGGGCTTTTGTTCTCTGGGAATTATTACTCTATCTGACTTCCTCAGTTACATCCTGGGAGAGTGAAAGCTACTCTTTCTTCCTTCTCCTCTGCAAAGGAAAGAGGTTCTGTTGCAGTGACAATATAATGACCTCTACCTGAAAGGATCTTTATTTTGAATCCTAAGGGGAAAATAACTAATATTGTTGAGCAACTATAACCCAATCATTTTCATGCTCTACATATATAATTCTCAAGGCAGCTCTGCAAGGTAGCACTGTTATTTATCCACATTTTCAGGTGAGAAAACAGGCTCAGAAAGGTGAAATAACTTACCCAAGGTCACACAGCTAATAAATGGTGAACCATACTTCAAACTCAGAACTGTCAGCCTGTGAGCCCAACCTGTGCCCATGATGTCAAACAGTGCATACTCAGTACTGATGCTGAGAGGAAAGGAGTGCTGGTGTACCAAAGGGGCTCTTCAGCCAACCCTGGTCCAGACTCTAAGCCTCGAACACTCAGCACTTCTCATCCAGGTAGG